GCACATATCGGATATAAAATTCGGTGCGTACAATAATAACTAAATATAATGAAAGATTAATTATTTTAAGAGCTGCTAATTATATGAATTTTATATTTGTATGTTACAGACAACGTAAGCTTCAATATTGACAACTCCGCTGTTGCGCATCAGTGTCGGTGAGTGAAAAATTTTTATTTAATTTTAAGGTAACGGATTTATGTAGAGCTTGTAGATGTAGATTGTAGATTGTAGATTGTAGGTCCGTTACCTTAAAATGGATGGGCTAGAACAAATTAAATCATATGATTTTTTAAAGTTTTTTTTTCCAATATACATTAAAGCTTATTAAAAATGCAAAATTGAAATATTAATTAAAGGAAATTTCATTTCTTTTTATTAATTTTACATTATAATCAATTATTTATTTTATTTAAAATAAATAATATACATAATATACATAAAACATAAAGCATAAAGAACATACTAGTAATTTTATTTTTTAATACTATATAATAATTTACTTTTATAATGCATACTGACATTATTTTAATTTTTTATAGTCCATCATTTTTATGTAGTGTAACGAATTAAAAAACTTTGCTTTAATTGATATAAATCTATAATAAGTAAGTAATCAATCTATTGAACCATATGTAATGTTTAAGAAGTTAATGAATGATACTATAACGTGAAACTATAGTAGAAAATGTATAAATAATGTGGAATTAATTTTTTATCGTAAATCTTTATTATAAATTTTTTATTATAAATAATATTATATATTGTAAAAATTGCAATCACTTAATTTTGATTAACTTAACTTAACTTATATAGCATTATATTAATTAAAGCAAAGTTATATTAAGATGATAACAAACAGTCATAATATTACGACTGTAAACGTAAAATTATGTTCATATACCGGATGAAAATAAGTAGCCGGCAACGGAAGGAGTTTTTTTCCTTCATTGACCTATGATACAGGTCAAAGCTACTTTATCCTTGGCTAAAAATAGCCAAATGCCTGGATAAGAAAAATAAGTTAATTTAAAAACGTGCAATAGCACATAATAAACGCGTAAATTAAACGGCTAAAATAAACGGGTACGTATAAAATAAATAACATAAAAATAAACTCAGAAACTCGCGAAAAATAAAGAAATCCTAATTAAACATAGGGCATATTCCCCAAATCTCAAAAAATCGCATATTTCCGCTGGTTTAATTTGCAGAGCAATTAGGACTGTTAGGATCATTGAAATTATTAGGATCGTTAAAGTTGTTAGAATCCCTTAGTAGGATTGTTAGGTAGGATCATTAAAGTTGTTTTGATTGTTAAGATTGTTAAAATTACTAGGATTGTTAGGATCACCAAAATTGTTTAGGATGATTAGGATGATTAGGATTGTTAGGATTGCTAGATATAATATTTTATATAGTAGGATTATCTATTTATTATAACTTTATTATATTATAATTTATTATACTTAATTTTAATATACTATAAGGCTTTTCTTATAGAATATTAAAATTAAAAGTTATAATGTAAGATCAAAAAGTTATATATCATTTTTACAAAGCTGTACAATCAAGATTAATGTATAATGTTCGACATCATTCTTGATTTTTAAAAATATTTACATTGCATATATAATGCGAATTATATGTAATGTGAATGTTTAATAATGATTATATTATATAACGTTCTTTTTTACATTGTATAAATTATATTGTTAATTATTGCTATATTGTAAATTGTTTTTATAAAAATTTTACATAATGTTAAATTCAGATGTAAATGTTTGTTAATATCTAATAATTTCGGTAATATTAAATAAAACTAAATTATATTAGAATACGAATAATTTCTTAAATTTTTAAAATTTTTAGTTTATTTAAATTGATAAAATATCATCATTATATAATTAATTTAATTATATAATTAATTTAAATAATGTCGAAATGCATTTTTATTATTATTTTGAAACATCTTTGCAAATTATTCGCAACGTTAAATATATCGAATTATTTGATATTGATAGCATCAATTTATATTGTGAATCTAAATTATAATTTATTATAATTTATATATTGCATATTACAATAAATAAATAAATAAATAAATAAATATATATATATATATATATATATTGTATATATATTTATTTAGTTATTGTATATGGAGCAACGAAGAGGTGGAGATTCCTAACCATTTTTGAACCAAAATCAAATAGAAATTTTTACGTTGTTTAAATAATTTATTGCAAAATAACAAGGTCAAGCAATATACATAGACCTTGTAAGTGTTGTATACCATTCGATAGGAAATTTTACCCAAAAATTTGTGTTGTGGAGGACCCCCTCTTGTGGAGGTCCCTGGGCTTCAGCCTCTGTTGCTCCCCCCCCCCCCTAAATCCGGTCCTGTTGTTAGTCCTGCATCTAATGTGAAATTATAATCAATATATAACTGTCAAAATGTCGCGTCGCATTAAACGAACAGATGTGAAAATATTTCACGATTATTACAAGTGTTGAAACAATATACAATGGAGAAAAATCAAGAAAAGAATAATATAATTTTGACTCTTCTTTTGCAACTTTATATCTCGACATAAGCGTACAATTAATCTTTTGGCGGGCGACCTGTCGGTATCGCGTATACCGTATATATCGATCGAGTCATATATCTAACATCTAACTAATAAGAATGTTGAAAGTGCCGCCAAAATGATCAGTAGTGGTTCAAAAATGTAAGAAATGAGAAGTGCCGGTAAAGCTCGACCATATTATTCGGCTGATTATCACGTATGTTACGAAATTCAGCTCAAGTGGTGTGGAAAAAAATAAAGTGCATCAAGTACGCATCAAGAATGTGATGTGGATAAGATAGTGAAGTGCGTGGAAGAATCATTGCGACGAAAATTTTTGCGAGTACCGATTGAGGTTATGGCGTAGCGTATATTTCAATTCGCCGTACATATACGTGTAGAGTGACAGGGTAATTAGCCTTCCGGGAATCGGCGCGTATAGATATGTGTCGGAAGTGACCAATGAAGCATCCAACGATCCGGTCTATCGCGTTAATTAGTGAACGCGATCGTAATTAGTTATAATTTTCCGATCGATTCGTATCCGTGCGAGTGAGTGTTCTCTTCGTGGAGGCGAGAATTGATATCGAAGATCGACGAATTCTATCCTTTCTTTAAAGATACGAGCTTGGATACAAACGACACCGACCAGATTGGTGAGTGTATTTTTTTGCAGTTATGTGAATAATTTGCAATCGCGAATCTTGTTCGGTCCATTGAACAAAATAAGCTCTAAAATCTAATAATTTAATCAGTCAAATAAACAATAACATTTTTCCTAAATTTTTGCTTTATATTTACACAAAGAATTTCAATTTTATTACTTAAAGAATGCCTTAATTTGTGTAAAAATGTAGTGATTAATTTACTCGTAAAATTAGCAACTACATTTTAATTATTACATTTTAATTATTCCGATAAATTTAATTGATGAAGTTCTGCCTTTTCTTCAAAAAATTTTAAAATTTAAAAAAAGATCATAACTTTAAAAAATGAAATAATTAATAATTTATAAATCATTGTTGTAGAAAGTATTGCGTCATAAATGGACTAAGCAAATTTTGAGATTATGCAAATTATGTTACTTAATAATATTTAATTTATAATGACTATAAATGATTATAAATGATGATTAATCTAATTTATTCAGTCGATAGCATTATTCGAAAAGTTATAATTAGTATAGTTATGGTTATATTTTGATATATATTTTTGATCGATATATTTTCGTAATAGATAATAAAATATATGATTTATTTTGGCTTCTGATAATGAACTATGATAGTGACTATAATTAATTATCTGATTTTTAAATATATTCGATATATATCTATAATATATTAAAGTATTGCAGTAAAAATATTTCAATTAAAAAAATAATTATTTATAGGCATTATAAATTTATTGTAAAATAATGTAATTAATAATTTAATAACGTATTGAAATTTTACAAAATAATAAATAGATATTCAATTTTCTATAATAATTTAATACGCGTAAAAGTGAAAAATATAAATATATAAATTATAAAAACAAATATATAAATTTAAATTAATAATCTGAAAGAGAAAAAATTAATTAATTTTTGCATATAACACATTAGTTAATTTCTGACAATTAATTGATATTCCGATTTCGATAGAAAAAATTCTTTGATATTTATCATATGCGGAAATTTTTTAGTGTGTTTTTCTAGTGTGCTTATTTGTAACATATATACAATACTGTAGATTTGAGATATTCACGAGATTAAACGTGATTTCGTATCGGGAGAATGAGTTATAGACTGTCGACTGACATCGCGTACAGGCGATCAGCTGATCGCGTAGTCGTGTGCTCGGCGGCGTGTAACTGACCTATCTCTACGATGAGCAAACAAGTTCTTGGAAGCGTTCACGTGTGTATATACTAGATTGATGAATGAGCGTCGCACATTCATTTTTCGAAGTGCTGTAACGCAACGAGAAATCGAGAAATATCAGATAAACACGCGATCATTTTGCGACCGTTACGCGAGAATCCATATTCACTATAGGTGATTTTGTTGTAACGTTTGTATCTATGATATAACGAAGAAAATAGAGAAAATTAATGTTCAACGATGGATTAGGTACTACATTATAATAGAGGAAGTAAAACTTGAAAAATTGATTTAAAGTATTTTTTTCAAGATTTTTTTTCTCGGTAGGAAAGAATTATTTATAGGTGTATAAAACCTCATTGAAATAATATATCAATAATTAATCATTTTTTTTTTATATAACAATATTATTAATGTGCGAAGAAATTCTTTAATTTGCAAAAAGAAATCAAACTTCTAGCATATAAAATAAGAGATGATTTAAGAATCACAGTTAAGCGTTAGCGAGAGAGATAACAGTGTTTTCTCTCTTGAGATCGCGCGTGTGGAGGGTTTTCGCAAACACTTACCGATATTCAGGTGAAGGGCAGGCTTGCGCCACGCAGACTAATGACGTCGATTCGTCTTGGGCGACGTGAACGACGCCGGAGTTTTCGAGTATCACGGGAGGCATTACGCCTCTGTGATCTGTGAAGCAGAATGCAGAAAACTCGGCGCGTCACAAACAGCATTTCCCAGCGATGCACAGCAGTTTCCTTCAAAACTTATCGGCGTTACCGAGACTCACCTGCTATCCTAATGTTGGCCATAGAGCTAACGACCACTTGTCTCGTGAGACGGTGCATCGTGCGGCATCTATAGCCGTTCAGCTGGTCGCTGAACTCGAGGCTGTGCACCAGAAGCTCTCCCGTGGGAAGCAGGTGGAACTTGCCATCTATAAAATGTAGCGATCGAAAGCCATCGTGAAATGTCAAACATATCGAAAGAAGATTGTACGATATACAGGATGTTATACAGGATGTCCTAGAAAACTTATATAATAGTAAAATATTTTCTATCAATTTTTTTTAGAGTCTCGTATATTTAGTCTCGAAATTTTAAGATGGAAGTTCTCTCGATAAATTTTTACCGATGATAAAAAATGGAGGAAAATATTTCTGATCGATAGAAATTATGCAAGAGACCTCTTGAGATTGAGACATCCTGTAATATTCTACTTAGATTATAAATTGTTAATCATTTTATTTTTTTAAATTTATTTTTTATATCATATTTTATGTTTTGCAATTAGTCGCGAAACTCGCAAGCCGGAAACAATGTTTCAGTAAAGTTCCGCTCAACGTGCATGAATAATACACGACTTCCTAATCCTATCGTATTATTCATATCAAATACGCGGCAGTAATAATTGGGATCAACATTTCCCGATAAATTGTATCAGTATTATCTTTAATGACCGCGATAACGCTATACCCTGTCGGGTTACGATATTTTTAGAGGACACGGCTGTACTCGCTTGCACGATAATTACGCTAATTTCGCGGTTCCACCCTTGTCCGATCTACGTGACGTAGAAGTACCTCGTTCTTGCCCGAACTAAACTCGAGGTTTCCTAAGATAAGCCCCGGTACAACGCTTAACGACCACAATTATCCTAAACAGTTGCAAAAGCTTGCCCTAGAAACTTGAATCTTTTTGAGATCTACAAATTGTGATTAAATTACGCGGTTACGTGCATATTGCTCTATTACGCTGTGCATTGTGCATGCACAATACAAGAATTGTATGATTTATATCCGATAATTATCAAAATTATTACAATTTTTGATATGAAAATAGATTGAAGTTTAAATGTATGCTTTTTCGTAAGAGCTGTTTTTTAATTTTATTGGAAAATTATTTGATTATCTCATTATTTGATTTTTAATAATTAATATTTTAATAAGTTGAAAGAGCACTTATCTAACGTGCTAATACAATTAAAGATATCTATTATAATACAGAAAATTAAAGAGTTTTATCCATAAATCGAACTTGAGAAAATTAATCAACTAATTTCATGTTTTCTTTCTCTACAAATTTTCATTACTTTAAAAATTTTGAAAATTTTATTTACTATGCAGATTGTGTGAATTTTGATTTAATTCAATTTTTTAACTCGTCACAAAGTTTGTTATCAAAATATTTTTCGGTAGATTGGTAGCGCAGAAATTCTCTATACATACAACGCGAGATACTGATAAAAACAGAGGCAACGAAATGTTTTCGCGTTTATACATGAAAATATTTTGCATACGGTGCATCTATATTGTTGCTGATATATAGTGATTATACATACGTACTCAGAGAGTGAGACATGATAGAACAGGCTAAGAGCAGCAGCTGCGATAAGGCAGCCTTCTGAATAGATTGCCCGCCAAATCAGGTGGACCGAATGGTCTATGTAGTTTAGGTATTACATTCGACAAAGAGCCTATAGTGCGCGCGCGCGTGCGGTTCCATTCACGATATACACGTGCATGTACGTATATATATATATGTATGTACATAAGCCGGGATTATATATAATACATGCAGCGAATTACGTTATAACTGATATCGACACAATCGCGACAGCGCATACAATGCGAGGAGAACTTGTTTGCCTACACAATACATTGAAGTTGATACAATGAAACGTCATGTTTCGGAATTTTTTTATTCACAATTTATTAACTTGTGTTAAAATGACTTTTAAATTGGCGTATGTCTCTGTAACCCATTGACCAAGAGTCCACAAACATACACCACGTGTAGGCACAACACTTTCGTTGTAACTAGTATTTGAGCTTAATGATTGCTAATTACGGCTATTAATAAAATCGCGGAACACAAAGTGTTTAATTAACATGTATATAACTCTTTTATCTCGTGTCCTCTTGTATATGCAATTTTCTGGGAACGGCTCCGCGTTTACAGCAAATCTGATTAATCTCTGCGTGCTACTAATGAACGGATGTTCTCGGCGAGGTCGGCGTCCCCGACAATCCCGATTCGTGCATCTCGCTTCGCGCATTGCGGAAGCAGAGACGCCACATTATTGTGGATATTAAATTTCAGCGGCGAGCGTCCACGGCGGATATTAAATTTTAGTTCTCGTAGGCAATGACCATATGGCTGAGTATAACATCGCGTACCAGTGACCGCGCCAAAATCGCCTCGTATTGTCGGCATATATAATTCTTTTTCCTCTATTCAGCCACTGTTATTCACAAAAATCCATCTGAAACGTTTCCCAGGTTCGTATCAGCCTTTGTAATACAAAGCCTCGGATTAACAAAGCTATTTGGGAAGTCAGTTATACACTAATTAAACGAGAAATATTTCGAGAGATATATATCTATAAGAATAAAATTTTTGAATATAGAAGTACATATATATTTATAAAATTTATAATACAAAGAATTAAGAGACAAATAATTGTTTATTTTGTAAATAGCTTCAAAAGTTTAATCATGTTAAAAGCTATAAGTTTTCATCAAAAAATTAATGCCATAGAATCATCAGGATCTCGTGAGACGCATAAGTTAACACCCAATTTTTACGAAAATGATTTTTAATAAATAGATTTTCGTTTGCGCATTTGCAGTTTGAATTTTTGATTGAACATTTTTAGAAAAAAAAGTTATTTAAAAAGAAACTTGAGGGACCAACTTTTCACACTCAAAGAAGTTTAAATTTTGCCAAAATTTTTTCGTAGTAGGCTTAATAAATTTTTGTGCGCGCATTTACATACATTTGAATTTTGATTTACATATATTTCTTTCTTTTTTGTTCTGAAGAGAAGGATTTTGCAAAATTTGAATTTCTTTGAGTGTAAAGTTGGCCTCCCAAGTTTCTCTTTTTAAATAACTTTTTTCTGATCTCTTGTATACGAATCATGAAATAATTGTAACACATATGCTTTCCGTCATTTTATTTTTGTAATGCGACTTATATCTCGCGTATTGCAGAACCGCCAAAAATTCATTTTTCTGCGAATAATCTTTTCCCCGTGTAACATTATTTTTTATTGCTAAACAAATAACTTGTATGCGGACATGCATGAAACATTATGCATTTGAAATTATTCAATTAATTTCTTTAGCTAATTTTTTACATCGCAAGTGTTTAAAACTTTGCGTTTTCGCGTATTATAGCATAATATCCATATTTAGATTTTTCTAACAAACATTTACCTCCTTGTAGCGAGGGATATATGTAGGACGAAGGCTCGTGCAGCCAAGATACGACGCGCACCAAATCTTTGACATAGCTAGGTATGATGCAGCGTAATATCGCGGTGCATCCCCTCGATGCTCCCCCCGTCACCTCCACATCGACTTTGTATGCTTGAGCCACCACTGCGAACAGCAATAAAATTTCGCATAAATCCACATATTTCAGCGAATGTGCACAAATTGCAAAACAATGGCTTACGACGCTTACGTAATACATAATTTTTATTACAATTCTTTGCTTAAGAATAGATTGATATCTTATGAAAAAAAAAAAATCATTTTTTGATATTACGCACGTAATCTATAATGACAATATTTGCATAATTTGCGCGACTTTTGACTTTTAATTATATTTTATTTTTTAAATCGATTATTTCGTAACTCATGTTTAAAAGTAGTTGACGCTATAGACAAGTCACCGTTGTGTCGAGTTAACACCGCAATCGACAGAGCAGGGAGTCTCGTGTATCTACGCCTCTAATTATCGCCGTAATGAAAAAGCAATCGTAGTTACTCCGACACTCTCGTTTTCAATTACGTCTCGCTACATCGTGAAAGCGCGTTATCTCTGTATACGCGGGTGTACGTACACTATGTACACGGGGTGTTGCACATGTCGTTACGACGCAGGCATCGGGTGAATCTCGACGTCGCTTGGTGTCGGGGATGGCGCCGAGGCATGAGGCGACGCGAGCGTATAACGAACGCCTCGGTCGTCCTCGGCGCGTCGCTTTCCTCTCTCCCCTCCCCCCCTCGTCTACCTTTTTGCGTCCGTCGTCGTCGCCGCCCTCTCGCGCTTGAGAGGCATCGTATACTCTCTTCCGGAGATTTTATTTACGTGGAAATTCCAAGGGCGACAGCCAGCTCTACCACCAACGGCGCGGTCTGACAGGCCGACGTCGCGACGCCGCGACGCGGAGACCTTCCCTCCTCCCTCCCGTGGCTACGACACTCCCCCTGTTCGTATACGAACTTGCCGGATCGCGCGAGGATTCTTTGTCTCGCGTTTTTCTCCTTTTCAGCTTCCTGATTCTCGCTTCTTGCGCTCGCGCGCCATCGTTTCGTTTCCTCTTTTCTTAACGTTTCTGCCCGCGAGAAAGATTACGCTGGATCCCGATAGCGACACTCGAGAAAATTTTCAGAGAGAGAACTCCTGCGCCGTGGATATTATTTTACAATGGATAGCAAGTGAGATGAAACGTCAGGCTTACATTTGAGAAGATTATATTTCTTACTTTGAAGTTTCGAACTTTCATGTAACTATTTCGCGCATGCTCTCTCTCTCTCTCTCTCTCTCTCTCTCTCTCTCTCTCTCTCTCTCTCTCTCTCTCTCTCTCTCTCTCTCTCTCTCTCTTTCTCTCTTCCGTTTGATATCTCGTATATAGATTTTCAAGAACTTTTTTTTTTCCGTGCTAAAATTATTACAACAGCGTCCGCAACTTTTAGCGCAAATCATCCGCGTAAAGCACGTCCGTTTCATCGAGCGCGGGCGGGATAGAAATTTCTTTCGTTATACCGAAAGAGCAGGAAGTAAAGTTTTAATTAACGGTCACACGTCCGAGCCAGAACTTTATGGCCGCGAGGGGGTTAGTAGTTGGAAATCCTGAAAGCGTCGAGTCCACCCCGCAGCTGCCACGGATTTGCATTCAGATTGCGCTTTTTTTTTAAGAGGTAATTACACTGTGCGCTACGCGACCGGAAGGGGGTTCTACTCGCACCTCATCTGCATCGGTTGGCGAACCTCGTTTAGCTCTAACACGCCTGTTTCACACGTATGGGACTTTGTTCCCTCGCGCGATCGGCATTGGCTTTCGCACGATTGGATTGCGTTCGCACGTGAAAATGGTCGTTTAGAGAAATGTTTCTCGCAACGAAACAGCTCTATAGAAAATAATACGACTTTGGGAAATATAACTTTCAAACCCAATACGTAATAATAATGGTGAACCGTTAAGGTTCTCGATAACCCGCAATACGACTTAATTTCGCAAGGGATAGGAAAGTATCCTCGAGCGGCTTCGGAAATAGTCTTTTCATTGCATCTTGAAAAATGTGTTTAATAAAAAAATAAAAAATTGATAGATATTTTTCCGAGTGAAAAAGAAGAAACTACATCAAGTTTTCTTTATCTTTCAATTTATCGCGCTTTATCAAAATGTATTGTCAATTATTTCTTAAATGGACGGAGAAAGATGTATATAAATATAAATTCTTTTGTGCAATGCCGTTGTAATGTTTTGCGGCGATCCAATTGCATTCGGATGTATACGATGCGAGCGTTCGCGGTCCGATTGTGGCCTGTGTGAAACCGGCCTATCCGCGATTCCGCGTTTTATCGCACGCGAGAGGCGACCCGTCCGTCCGTCCGCCCGTCCGTCGCAATTACTGTTGACTCGCGCCAAATATCCGCGGCATTCGCGTAATCCGCTTAATAGACTTTTCCAATGACCCGGCCGCGGGCAAAACTCTAATATGACGATCGTTCCGATTACGCGTTTGCCATTCCTTAATTAAAGGATACCTCGGTAAATAACGGAAATGTAATTGCGCAAGTGAACGCTAATAACAAAGTTGCGCGTAAATAATGTTATCTCGTAAACGACTCTACGACAGAACGATAACGAAACGTTTGCAGCCTTGATGATAATATGATTCGCGCAACAAATAGATGAACAAAAATCGACCGCGATTTTATCTTATAAAATCATCAACTTTCGGTTTTATATCTTACGCAATGTATAGTTAAGATAATTACATATAATCATATCTTAATTCAAATTATATTTTATCTGTGAAGGGATTTTTAACGCCGATCGTTTTACAATTTTCGCGAATCCCGAATTTTCGAATTAATTGAAATAATCGAATTTTGCTCACCTGCTCTGACTTGTACATCTCGGCTGAGAACTCTGCCGACGGGGTTGCTCGCCACGCATCTATACGCGGCGCTATGAACGTCCTGTCGATAGGCCGCGGCCGGAAACGGCAAGAGCACCAGAGTACCATTTCTGAGCACTCTCCGCACGCCCGACACATCGTTCACCGGATGTCCGTCCGCGGTGGACCAGTCAATGTTGGGTGGCGGACTTCCGGAGGCCGTGCAATCCAACCAGGCGCCGCTGGAATTTGAGAACTCGATCCTTGACGGCGGTTCCACCACGAAACTAGGTCCGCGTAAATGCGCGTCGAAGCCGTGCCCGCTCGCGGACGTTATTATAGCAGCTGCACCTGCAAAAAGAAACATTTTTATGATAATTATGAATTTTTTTCAATATATGAATATAAATTTTAGAACCTATAAAGTTGCGAAATGCGCTAGCTAAAATGATTTCGATATTTCTATATATCGTTATTCAATATAATCTCATAGATATAAACTCATAATACACGACAGTCGTAAGAATACTTTGACCGACAGTATTAAAAGACCGAAAGCGAGGGATATCGCGTTGACCGGTCGTATCAGGCGGAAAACAGTTTGACAAGTTCTAAAGTGGATTAATCAACGTGCTTAGCGTGCCTAGTATAGCCGATCGAACGATGGCGATGCGACCAATACGTCGGCCAAGTTATTCTCCTCGTAGAGCGCACGAGACACCCGCTTCTCGGCGTAAATGCTTTGATCGGAGGCGTGAAAGCATTGACGAGAGTCAGCAACTACTTGTCGGCTTCTCTCTTGTATCGTTAGCGGGTTCCTGCTTCGGTTATTAACTCTCCGCCCACCCAAGCTACATCCTCCGTGTCAATGTTATGGTGAAATTTGCTGCGAGCCATAGGAGCCGTGATAAATTTCGGCCCTCTCGCACGGTTAGCCTACATAGCCTGCGCTTAAACTTTGAACCGCATTGACTTAACTTTCAATTACTATTATGTCGCAATTCGGCTAACATGACCGTCATGATGGCGATTCTAATAAATCTTCTTATAATCCTCAAGCGCTCTTGCATATTTGGACTACCTCGACTAATTTTTAATTAGTACGACTACTATCTATTTAATTTCCCGATACATTATTTTTAAATTGAGTCAATATTAATGTCTTGTCGAAAGCTACACCAGTCATTCTGAGAAGATTAATTAAACTTTAGCGAGCCAACACGCATCTATACCTTTTAATAATTGCGATTTATTTGGAAATTAGTAAACGTCAAAATAAACAGCTGATCGCGCTGATTTACGATTGTAGAAATTGCAAACGGCTAAGTAAACGGAATGGTATTTCCCTTTCCTTTATTTCCTCTTCTTTTCAAGATTCAATATAGAATAGCTCGATCGAGGCCCGGGAAAACGCGAAACTCATAACGACATTTGCGCGGAGTGCCCATTGTAATTCGTTTATAACGACATTCGAGGGGGAAACGCGCGAGGGGGTTGCGACCGAATTTCGTAATGTCGTCGCGCACGCGTTGCATATGCGCTCAGCATACAAAATACAAAGTATGCAAATCGGTGTGCGCGAATGAGAGAGAAAGAGAATTGAAACCTTCCATCGCGATGTCCGGCGCTCGCTTTCGTACTGACCAGCTTCCGGGGAATTGTCTCTTTCTCTTTCTCTCTCTCTTTCTCTCTCTCTCTCTCTCTCTCTCTCTCTCTCTCTGTCTCTCTCTCACGCTATTTAATTACTAATTCCGCGCGAGTATTATGTTGGCAGTCTCTCGAGTAGAATTCCGCGTCGCTTCGTCCAAGCGACATCATGTCGATTTTCGAAGGCGCTGCGTCGGCTACTTTAATTGGCAGAAAATTAATTACACATTGTGTATACGCAATTCGACGTTGTTAACCAGAAATTCGAACGGCTGGATTACATCAAAGAGATTGTCACTTGGTAATTTACGCGAGACTTGAATTAATTTTATATATATATATATATATATATATATATATATATATATCGCATGTCATGAAAAATATTTTGTCACACCTTTCATTTGTGTATCCAATTGAACGTATCGATTTCTATGCTTATCGTGACCTCGTGGAGATATTTCGGAACATCTACAATTCTAGCTGTACCTTAGCTGCTGCGCAGATCGAATTCGCGTCAACGTCTCGCCTTTACGTTCTCGAAGAGATTTACCTATTGACATGGAAAATCGAGAAGTTGAAGAAGATGGTTGCGACGAACGAACGAGCGAGCAAGACTGAACATGCCGGTAGATGCTCAAAGTGACTGGCCGAAAGCGTATGTTGAAGTGACAGAGGTAGACGAATAGAGTTGAGCAGCAAGTGGAAGGTATAAACGGAAACCCGAGGGGAATATACGAACGGGTGAGATGAGACAGAGAACGAAATAGAGAACGAAGTAGAGAGAGAGAGACAGAGGCAGAGAAAGAGCGGGAGGGTGAAATAGAGAGAGAGGGGGTGCAGGTGTCGGTGGGTAATAGCTCCCTATTACCATAACGCTCGGCTAAGCCGGCTAATCGGTTCCGCTTATGCCGATCGGCAAATTATTATTAATCACATTGCGCGCAGATTATGCGTCTATGGCGCGGTGGCATTTGCACTTCGCGTCGCGTTACCAGTCGCAGTTGCACGGGCTTTTAGCGTCACGTATTTATCCGCGCACGTTTAATCTTTTAGCAGCACTATATACATTAGATGCGCCAAACTCTGTTGCCTCTTGTATAATGTTCCATAATTTAGATATATTATTTTTTAAACTACAAATGATGCTGGTCTCATATTTTTTCTTTTTTTTTAAATAAATTCGAACGTTAAATGATTTATTTTCATTTATTTATTATCTATTTATTTTCGAAGTTATTTTGATATTTTGTTCTATTTGTATGTATTATATCGTTGAATTATTATATATAATACAGATTAATTACAATTCAATTATCACAAAAGCAATTGATACGTAGGATTGACACTATTTAATGTGTATGCGGATGCGCACATAATTTAGTTTCGTAATTATATAAAATTCAATATAATTACATCTTTTCATACATTATACATTGGCATCATTCGGTTTTATTTATTACACAATTACAAATTAAAGCAGATATCTTTATATTAAAATTAATCTTTACGAGTTTACTGTTTCGAGTTTATACCATTTTACACTTTCAATATATTTTCCATTCAAGATAGAAAATATACTATAAATTTTAAAATACTCTGAAAGAATTAGATATGAGAATCTTTGCTTATGATTGTTTCTCTTTGAAGAATCTCTCGTCGTCCTCGGTCAGTCTTCGAAATCCGAACATAAGCGGGATTTCTATCATCTGCCTGGATTTCGCTCTCTCGCCACGAAGCGTTCGAATCGGTGGGTTCGGTAAAAGGAGCTTGTGCTACGAACCAAGAATCAATAGGCGGAACAAACTGTGTAGGTGGGTAGAGGTCTCCGGTAAGATTGAATTTGCAGACTGCCTCTCTGAGAGTTCTCGACGAGGGGCGAATCCTGGAGAAAAGGTGGAGGGCAACGGCGGGACTTGATAAGAGTCCACGATCTCGTGCGACGGCGGTTCGTCCTCTCGCTAACTTTCATACCTTTCCTCCTTTTTCGCTCTCCGTTCCCCTCTCAAGAGAGTTGCTGATGTTTGCTCTGCCTATCAAGACGGCAATTATTTGATCCGGCAAGTGAAACGTATCCCTTAAATCTTCCTCTTTTTCTTCTGTTCGCTAGTGTTCTCTAGAAAGATTCATCAGAATTTAATTCGGTGGATTTCTAGATCTTATTTTTTCTTCTCGGAAACGTGATTTTGCATGATGTAACATAATGATTTAAAATTATTTAACACCGTGAAATATTAATTTGAATCCAAGCTAAAATCCAATATTTTTGAGAGATTCTAAAATTAAAATAGTAATTATTAAATATGTAACGAAATAATTAAAGAGAAAGAAACACAAAATTCTAATTATTACCATTTATTGTTACAACGAAATTACATAAAAAAATAAAATATTAAAATAATAATTTAAAAAATCTAGCAGAGTAGAGAAAGAGAGAGAGAGAGAGAGAATCGAATTTTTACTTTCTTTCAAAATATGATAAACAAGAGTAGTAGTCTAAAGACAACATCGATTTCTATGAGAAGTTTACAAATTGATAGAATCGACAATAGTTTACGCTAAAGAAAAAGAGAAAATGGAAAGGTAGAGGACGCAACGAATTATTCTGCCTTCCTGCAAATGCAAGTCGAAATCGAACGCTGCAACAAGTTGAGAAAGTTGTTTAGACGTCTTGGAACGAGACGGAGATCGCTCCTGAAAAACTATGGCCGTGCAGGGACACACGGGCAATTTTCCAGCTCGTGCGAAAAGTTTCCGCGGCGGGCAACAAGTTGAGAAAGTTTCAACATGGCCATGGATGGCGTCCCCGAGGGAACGCTTCCGCGGGCCATTTCAAAAACTGTCGAACGACTAATCTCATGGCTTCTAGCGAGAGAGCGCGATACGAAACTTTGGTCGAGCGACCGGAGTCTGCAACTTTTGCGCGAATTCGCTGCGAAAAGTTCTGGATCGCCTGGATAAGCGTGTTAGATCGAGCGTTGGGCAGGCGATATCTCTGAACTTCATCTTGTAAAAGATTATTTTTATCTCATTTTATATTCTGTATATGTTCCACGTTTTGAAACGAAAAAATCTATCTTGAAAGGATTTTTGTACACTTCTGAAAAAAATCATATGTGAAATATATATTTATTTCTAATATATACATATATATGCACAGATTCACATTTACATCTACATATATAGATCCATATATTATATCTATATCGTGTGCCGAAGAACACATTCTTGTTTGTTGTATCAATCCGCAAATTTTTATTCATCTTTATTTTCATGTTAGTATATTAATTTTGTTATTTGCGTTTCATATTCTTATAGATATACGGATCTCTCAAGTTAATCGAGATAATTTTTTATAAATTTCTTAATTTTAATACTATAGCATATAATTGTTTTGGGAGGAAATAAAATTAGAAAAAGAAATTTATAAAAATAGAATTAATCAATTTGATTTTAGAGAGATACAAATATTTTCTACTTTTATTATTTATATAACTTTTTTACTTCTAGTTTATGCAGTTATTTGATAATTTTTTTTTATAATGATATTTTTTAATCACATTTTTTCATCAATTTCAAAATTTTATAAAGTTCTATCAGGGACATTTTTATCTTTAACGCTTTAACATTTGCTTTTAAATTGTTTGAAAGCAGCATAGTCTATAATATTTCGATACCAGCCAACAAAATATGAATTTATAACA